AGGCTATTTAGGCTAAGGTCCTCCAAATAAATTTCTCTTTAGTGTTGCTTTGATCTTGTTTTCGAATCTTGGTCGGAGCAACTAGGAGACCTTGTAGGGCATGTATAAATTTTGTGCTGGTTTGCGCTTAGCCTTATTTTTATATAGACTATTTTTATATTTATAACGATCGGTTGATATTGCTTTATGTTTTAATAACCCTGATTCGGTCAGTCTCAGAAGCAAGAGAGGCTAAAAAGCCCACGAAACCGAGATAGAATTTACTTGTATTTCAGTGATAAGTGGGGCGTATTCAACTGTTATTTTCTACCTTGGCAACCCTAATCCCTCTTTTTGTTTGCCTTTTTTAAATATAGGCTTTAGCTGAAGCAAAAAACCATAAAAAATTGCTAACTATCGCTTTGCTCAGCGCCCAGACAGCACACGGCAACCTGAAGCGAAAATGTATGAAGCTTGAAGAAAATCTATTGCGTCAACAGGAAATTATTTACAATCAAGTGGGTACAAACTCCATCACTGTGTGCATTAATACTGTAATTTACTGCCAACCTGTGTTGAGATATTCCCTAATCTCTAAAATCTCTCTTTTTTAGTCCCAAATCTAGAATTTTTATACCCTATCCTCCTATCCTTTAGCATATTTTATTCGTTTCTTTGCAGTTATAGTTTGCTATGTTAACTGAGTTGACTCACCTTTCTTGTCTGGGAACTTAGGTTTCCACGGCATAAAATAATATTCTTATTCCAAGGGTACTGATAATTTCGATACCTATTCATTAGGTATATTCCAATAAATATTGTACTTTGGTGAATCTTAACGTCCACTCGGCACTCTTCGATGCTAAAGGAAGACTCTTTCTTTATAATAAAGCAAACATGCTGTGTGGCTTACTGATTTTTGCGCCTGATTTCCTTAACAATTCATAATTCCATCCAAAATATACACTTTGAATGGAGTTAAATTGAGATCCCTGTCTGTTTTTATATGGAATGACCTTTTTGATAAAAACCCAGGCAGTGTCGAATGGAAGTAGCAAATTCAGTATACATCTATTAATAAGTCAAATCCTAGAGATAAACAAAGCTTTTTTAAACCCAACCTCTCATGGAGCCACCAGACTCTTGATCTCTTGATTATATTTATGCTTCTATTGATAATATTTAATCATTTTCACACATTTTTATATCGATTATTCTAACAATGGGGTGGCGATGCTGACATCTGCCCTGCCTATACAATAGGACTTCGCCATTGAGCAGATGGAGCATCGGATTGGTCGCATTGAAGGCGAACAGTCTGAGGAAGAGAAGGTGGCTCTAGAGGCTCGAGTGTCCGAGTTGAACCGACAGATGGAGGAGCGTAGTAACGTTTTCACCACTATGGCTGCTCAGATGATGGACCTTCAGGTAAGCGGTTTAGCATACATCCCCTTTTGCTCTCCATTCCTTACGCATTTGTCATTTTTTCTCACTTCATCGTTCTATTTTCTGAGTAAACGGCTTTTTTTCTTATCGCCCTAATATTCCAATGTTAATACAATAAGCTTTATGCTGTTCATCCTCGATTTTTTGTCTATCTATACGATATGTAAATTTACTGTAATCCTGGGCTAATGTCCTTATCCAATAGAGACACTCGTCATTTCATTAAAACATCCTGGAATACTGGATTCGAAATGCATTGAATCAAAATATGCTCTCCACTTCTTGGAGTCATGAGCTTCTCCTCCCATTAAAACTACCATCGTCTTTTGGTTACAATGACCTATGCATTTCTATATTATGAGTTTTTAAAACAAATGCAAGTTAGGTCAATACGGATATAGGTAAAGAATATAAGAAAACCAGTCTCTCTTCATATATGCTTTCATTCTTCCGAGTTATGGCTGCGATATAAAATGTCTGACAATGCTTGCCAACTTAGTCGTGTGTCAGGTTGACCTCAGAGATAGTACCTTATCCAACCTATTTTGCCATTGTAATTATGATAATTTATAGCATCGGAATATGGATTTGACACATTTCCAGATTTTTCGCTGGCATCATCGTCGGCATCATTATTGAGCCTGGTTATTCTTAACTCCAAACTCTATATCACAAATGAATTTTGGTTCATTTTTTATGTAGCTACACAGGAGTTTCGGTTGTTGTAATGCCTTGTGAAAGCAGTCTCTTTTGCCACCTATGAATAACTCACAATTATATGCATAGATAGCCTACGTGTTCAACTGGTAGGTAAGTAGAACACAAGGAGAATGCTGTTTAATAGATAAGACTTTTGGGTTAGCCTGTAGCAATGTCTTTTAATAGCCCACATAAATGGAGCTGCGAGGACCATAGACCTTGCAATCATGTCACCAGCTATTTGGTCTATTCCCTAAGCCATGTATATTGTGGGAAAAATCGCCTATACTTTTTTCTTATGCTAGTGCTCTTTATTTTGAGGTTTGCTAAATCTTGATCACTTCAA